CGCCCCCCCCGCCAGCACCCGCCAACGAACGTCTCGCCCCTCGCGCGGAACACCCCGGCACACAGCCATGGCCGTCGCGATGGCCGACTCGCAGCCGTACGGCGAAACCCAGAGAGAGATGCGCTGGGGAGAAACTCCACCCTGCAGGTTTGAGTTCGGGCTCGTTTCTTGTACGACCGTCCGGTCGCAGCATCCGTCGGGCGAGAAGCAGCTCCGGAGGGAGACGGGGCGGCAGGTCACGTGTCCCAGCTGCTGTCTTTAAAAGCTATGTTGACCAAGCGCAGCTCTAGCTCAAACGCGTCGGGTCGGTCCTGCGGGTTGGCAGCCAGCATTTCCTTGATCAGCTGTTTCATCCGAGCGTTCATGGATTTTTTCTTCACGGGGATGAGCAGTTCCATCTTAGGGTTTTCCAGAAGCGCCTCTCCGACGGGCACGATCGCCGTTCCCTGCTTGACGTAACTCCCCAGAAGTTCCTTCTTTGTTTCTGTGTCTATGAACGTGATTCTTTCCAACATGGCCCAGATTATAATCCCCAAGGCAAAGATGTCTGCTTTGGCAGTGTAATGTCCCTCCCAGACTTCAGGGGCCATATAGAAGTCAGTCCCGCAGGCGGTCGATAGAAAACACTTATTTACGTTGACGGGTTCCTCGGGGTTCTGTCCTGAGGCCGAGCACACCTTGCTCAGCCCAAAATCGGCTACTTTCAGGGTAGGCTCCGAGTCACTGGCATCCCCCCTGCTCCGAGAGATCAGAATGTTGTCGGGTTTGAGATCGCGATGGATGATCTGGTTTTTGTGCAGGAAGGCCAGCGCGCTGCTGAGCTGAAGCATGAAACTGGTGTTGGTCCTGCGGTTCGGCTTTCGGGACAACAGATACTCATTCATATCACCTCCATCGCAGAAATCCATCACAAACCAGAGGTAATAAGCACTTCGGGGGTCAAAGACTATTTCTCCTTTTAACGAGGTCTCTACAAGCTGCAACAAGGAAAAGAAATGTCGTAACTACCTGCTGACTACAGGCACAGAAAGGTCTGATGGAAGAATGCACCGAATTTGGATAATCCGGAGAGTGAGACATTGCAACTGGTGAAAACAGAGCTATGCAAAATTTATGGTGTTTAAAAAAAAACCACAACCACAACGTATTTGGCAGCCTCCTTGCTTTCACACGTGCGAAGCGTATCAAGCTCGCGCTCCTGCCCAGAAGCCAGAGCCAGACCCAGATAACAGGACTTTGAAAGACACCCAGATACTGCACTCCCATCTGTTTCAGCTGGACAGTGTCCCACCCCAACAAAGCCTGTCCCACCCATCCTCCTAAACCACTCCAGGGCATAAACAACATCTCGGAGTTACGTTTCGCCCTCTCCGCTGACGAAGTGGCGCCGCAGCAGGTTTGTAGAGCCCGTTCTCATAAAAGACATGAATGGGTTTCAGCAGGGGTTAACGCAGGGTGCCTTCACTCGGGAACGCTGACGTACAGCGCACCCGTCGCTGCGCGGATTCACCTCTCCCACCACCACGATCCACTAGCTATTGCTTAGGACGTAAGCGGCGAGTAGCTCGAGCAGACGGTTCTAAAAGCTGCTGCACACAAAGAGCAACATAAACCCAGCAATTTGTTTCACTAATCCTGTTCACGCCCTCAGCTCCTGCGAAGGTGGCTCTCGGCATCTCCAGGAGGTGGTAGTGCAATTATTTGTTAGTAGTAACCCAAACATAGCTCTGACGGGCTTTCAAAAATTAGGGTAGCTGTTAGTATGTACAGAAGCATTTTATATATTTTTTAAAAAGTGACCTTTTTCACCCAAGAGTAAAATTCCTAGCGATTTACACCTATGTTTACCTGAGAACACAACTGGTACAGACCAACCCAAAGCAGTAATCCCACCTTAGAACTGCAAAACCACCTATTCTGGGTTTGCAGCAGGAGCAGCGAGATTAAGGTATCGCAGGAGAGCAGGGAGGCTCCTTTGCCAAGTGAGCACCAACACACAGCTCTCCCCGCCACGCGGCTTTCCGGAAGCTGCGGCTGAGTTCGGAGCAGCAAGACAGCAAAAATCCCCCACCGCGTCCGTGAGAGCGGCCGAGCACTGCAGGACCAGCCTAGTTTAGGACTTTGGCTTCAGTCACTTAGTTCAGCTGACCCCAGTTAACTATCTGCCCCAAAGGCCTTCAGGGGGCACTAATACCCCCTCCCCAGTTGCCTCCGCACCCCCTGCACTCTGTGATGGAGTATCAGCTGGGATGGGGAGAGCAGAGGGCAAGCCAAGGGAGATCCTGATTTTCTCTATTTTGGCACATCCTATTACAAAGCAATTCCAGAATCTCCAGAGTCAGCCCAGCTCTGCCCTTTGCTCGTGTCTGCAGGACAACAGTGCTCGCACCTAACAGCCCCAGCGACGGGTGAGAGCTGCGTGTCGTGCTGTGAACAGGCACTGCCGTCACCCAACCAATGCAGGTGACGTGCGAGCTCTTCCCTGCCCACAAGTCTGAGCCAGTCTCTCACGGAGCCACTAACGACTGGGAAGGCACCGATTTCTCCCTGCTCACTGTTATTTTACCCTAAACCCTGCAGGAAAGCAGGTCAGTAGCAACCAAGCCAGAGTCCTCTTTCTCCGGCTGGCAGAGCACAACGGGATCTGGACGGCTGTGACGGGTTGTCAGAGGACTGTTTTGGAACAAAAGGCCCTACGTTAGACACGCGAGAATGACAACAGTAAAAACTGGAAGGATAAAAGCTGACGAGGGATAACACGATAAACACTCAGCAGGCTACTGGCTTGTTAAACCAGAGACGTTTCTGCCAGGGGATGGTTTATAGCTTCTTGACAAGGGAACGAATCGGATTGTCCTTCAAAGTCTTTCCAGAGCTGCTCATTCTTCAAAAGTTTTTTGAAATTCAAAAATATTTACCTTCAAACTTCAAAGGCTACACTTTCAGTAGCCGCACAGGGGGAGTGATATTTGTTCCCTTTACTCTCTTGGAAGAGGTAAACAGTTCTTTAGTCAAAAAGCCAAACCTGCTCGCCGCATGCTGATGCTATTTCTGAAAGGATTTTAAGCGTTGCCTTCCTAAATCCAGACGGTTACTTCCTCTTGGACATCGGAGAGGGAGAAAGTCTTCAGAGCTCTGTCCCAAGACAGAGCTTAACCCTGCAGCAGAGCTTCTACCCAGTGACACAACGGCCTGCACCTCCCTCCTGCTTTACCTGTGGTGTTTCCTCAAATCACCAAAGCAGCTTTGCATGAAAAAAAAAAAAATAATCCTGGGGTCCTGTAAGAGTGGGATGGCTTCAAATGACAAGAAACGGGTGCTTGTTCAGTAAACGGGTTCTTTTAAAGATATCAAATAATTGCTGGGTGTCAACAACATGAACAACACCCTCTCCTAACTCAGCACACCTCAAAAAACCCCAACAGAGATGATCGTAGGTACCCACCTCCTTCCCTCCCAGCTGCACAGCCAAATGCATTACTTCCACCCCGTTACCTCAGCTTCATGTACCTGTAAATACAGGGAGGAACTGGAGCCATGGGACATCTTCTGCACCATACCATCTTTCTGCAAGATGCACTCCTCCAGGTGAATGACGTTGGGATGCTGGCTCTTGATACTGCTAAGTGCCCAGAACTCACGCAGAGCTAGTTCCACGTTCTCTGGAGCATGGCACCGAATCTTTTTCACCGCGACCCGTGCAGAGGTCTTCCTGACGACTGCTTCGTACACCACACCATAACTGCCACGACCAACCTCCCGTATTAGATCGTACTTAGGCTGGCTACTCACCATCTTCAAGATCAAGGGTTCTGGGGAAGGGGGAAAAACCCACAGAACTAAAACTTAGGAAGGAGAACTGGGCTGCGTTTTCCCCCCGCATGGCTCGGCGCGGCTGCGAGGCCGAAGCAAAACCCTGCAGTTAACAGGGCAGCGCGTCCGAGCGCCAGGCTGAACGCAACGCCGCATTCGGGTGCCACAACACCCCAGGGGTTACGCTGTAAACCTGCACCTGTTGCCATGGACTAGTTAAAAGCGAAATCACATCATTTTTGGTGGGACGATTAAAGATTTAAAACACAGCCCAGTTTTCAAGGTGGCAACAATTCAAACCTAGACTTGCACTGTGCCGAGACAGGACTATGGCGTACGCTCCTGCTCCTTTCTCTCAGTGTCTTCCGTGAGTATCTGCGGGAACAATAGCACGGTGTCATGCTCCCCATCCACGCCCGGGACAGCGGAGAAGACGGGTGAGCTGAAGCCTGTGGCTGGGCAGTAACAGGTTTAATTAACGCTGCCTTTCGCAGGGGTGAGCATGTGAGTTTCTGTCACCATTTAATCATGAAAATCTTTTACTGGTGCAAAGACAAGGGGATGATTTGAATCGTTTGCTGTTTATTTTGGAACATTACTATGATTTTTCACCTCATCTCCCTTGAATGAGGAGCCTATGGTTACAAAAAGTTAAAAAGGGCAGATTGCAGAAGCTCGTACCCAGCATCTAACTTTCACTTTTACTCAACGGGGTAAGGACAAAAGTTAAGATGTTGCTCGCTAAGCAAAACAAGAGACACGCAAAAAAAAAAAAAAAAGGAGCCACCAAACATTGCTACAGATTTCTGACCCTCCCTGCGCAATTACAAACCAAAACACACCCAGCGCCACCTTCACGCAACCAAACCAAAACGGGGCGCTGACTATAGACAGGGAGAAAGAGCTGGGCTAGCCCCTTATCACCGGTCAAACAGAATGAAACAAAACAAAAAGCGACAGCTAGTATATCAGAGCTAAAGCAGTCGGTAAGGTTGCCAGTGATAAATGGAATTCTCTTGATGTCAGTAAACCAGGCAATAAGGATCACATGGAAACTGCCTGGTTTTAGGAAGATTTCAAGTATTTCCACTCTTTAGGGTAGTTTGTTTTTTAAAAAAAGAAAAAAAAAAAAGAGAGAGAGAAGAAAGGTATCATCAGTCTCACAGCACAGACATTTTAACCTGACAGTCAAGATCTGGGATGCACATGGAAGGAACATTTTGAACTGTGATGCGCCCAAGCAACGTGTTTACTCTGAGGTTCTGCTCTCAAGATGCACTGAGCCTGCACCTGCAGCATTCAGGAGGTGAAAACTACAGCCGGACCAGGCAACAACCTTTCCATGCAGGGGAGAACAGCGGGCTCTGTAACCTCACCAGCAGCCAAGTAACTCCCGAGGAGAAGCCTGCGTTACGCCAACGCTATCAATTGGGTTCAAAACGAGGAGATGTCCCCCCGCGCTGAGAGTCGTTGGCTGTGATGTTAGAGAGGAGCTGGCCTTCTGCCAGGCGTCGGGGTTGCTACCTGCTTTCCTTCACCCCCACAGCAGGCTCTGGGAAGGCCACCGAGGCCTATTGCCCAACCCCACCAGCTCGCCGGGGCGGCAGGGAAGGGCACAGGCCGGGGCGCTGCAGAGCGAACAGGCCCCTGCTCCCTCCTGCAGGCCTGGGAAGCGGCTCCCTCCCTGGCTGCCTCGTTAGCGGCAGTAATTACGGAATAACACAAACCACCCCCCACC